TGCCCTGTGCACAGGGCCGCTGCAGGGGCCAGGCACGGAGGGCGGCCTGGTGGTGCTTGTTCCTCAGTCCTCGCTCCTGGGGTCTGTCTGTGCAGATGGGTGCAGGCCCGCGCGGTGGGCACTGGGGAAGATGGTTCTCTGCGTGTTGTATTTCCACGGCATCATCCTTTGCATGGCGGGCGTGCTTTTGTGCGCTGCCTCAGGCCGACTGCAGCTGCTTCGGCTGGAAGTGACGGCTTCTCCGAGTCTGTTCTTGTCCCCAGATAGATAGTTAGGACTCGAATCGGGCTCTTTTCAAGCCACATGTGCAGCCAGGGCTTCTGGCAGATCTTCCAGCCAGACCCCAGTGTGTGCGCTCTGTGGACGGCGGTTCCCAGCGCTCAACCCGGAAGGACGGTCCTTCAAGGTGCCGCCAGCACCCAGCAGCTTGGTTCAGGAAGTGGGGTGGATCCAAGTGGATTTGTTTTGGCGCAGTGTGATTGCTTTGACCGAAGAAGCTCTGTTGTGTGTAAGATACACGGAATAAGGGCCGGGGATTTAGCTCAGCGGTTTGGTGGCCTGCCTTACAAGATACACGGAATGACAGTTACACTTTGCTAAAGAGCCATTGCTGAGGGTCACTACAGTCATGGTGAAAGCCAGGTTTCTATTTAGTAGAAAGCAATGCTTGGAAAACTACTTTTCACCGTGTCCAATTATTTTACCTAGAAGGGTACATGGAAATAATCCAGAAGATTTTTGTCTTGTTTTTGTGGTTCTGGTGACTGATCCCCAGGCCCTTGGACCGAGCGACATCCATAGCCCTTTTAAAAAATCAGTTGCTTAATTTTGAGACTGTCTTGCTAAGTGGCCCAGGCTGGGATTGAACTTGGGATCCTCCTGCCTCAGCCTCCTAGAGTGCCAGGATCTACCTGCTCCCCCTCAGAAAGTACCCTAGGACCACCAAAGGAAATAAGTTTTTTAGATGAGATTGAAGGCTGTGATATTCAATGACTTGCTCAACTGATATAGGAAGTTAGTCATGGTGTGGGAATAGAGATCATATTTATAACCAAGAATTAATGTGTTGTTTTAAACTCTGGGTCCTATTGGCATTGAGATTTCAGTGAGTGTTTCACTGCATAATTTTCTTGTTGTGATGAAATGTTAATATGAAACTTGTAGCCATTTTCACACGTGTGATGATTTTAATTTGTCGCAGTGATTATTTTAAAGATGTTTTGCAGCCATCACCACCGTTCCCAAAGCTTTTCCTTGACCCCCTCAGAAACTCTGAAATCTGCTTCTCTACCTGTTTTTGTTTCTGTCCTTGAGGTGGAGCCTGCTTCCGGCCCAGGTCTCACCCTCCTGACTCTGGCCAGCAGCACCCCCGCAGCTGCTTCTGCTTGTGAATCTGCTTATCCCAGACTTCTGTGAGTGGGATCCGGGCTGTGCATCTGGCTTGTGCAGCGACTCCTGACTTCACACCTAAGCTCTGTCTGTGATGGGCTCTTGTGAACAGTGCTGCCACAAACACTGCTGAACACGCATCTGGCTGCGGCCCTGCTTTTAGTTCTTTCTCGTAGCTGCCTCGGGGTGGGATTGCTGGATTTCTCACCGTTCTTCTCTGAGACAGGTTTCCACAGTGGCTGCACCATTTGCTTCTGCTAACAGAGCCCCTGGATGTCCCTTTCTGCGTTCTTGCCTGTCCTCATAGCGGTCTTGGCAAGTGTGGCGTCGTGTCTCGGTGGGTTTGTGCATGCATTCTCGGGTGGGTGATAGCGCCGAGGGTCTCTGTGTATCTTCTTTGAAAAGACATTTATTCACATCCCTTGCCTGTATTTTAAAGTTCTTTTGTTGAGTTGTAGTTCTTCATATATTCTGAGTATTAAACTCTTGCCAAATATGTGGTTTGCAAATAATTTCCCATTCCTTAGAGTATCTTTTCTTGATGCCCTTTGATGCAAAAAAAAAAAAAAAGTTTAATTTTAATGATGTCTAGTCTGTCTGCATTTCCCACTCATGTTCTTGGTGCCATATCTAAAGCTCATTTCCAGAGTCCAAGGTCGTGAGGATCACCCGTATTTTCTTCTAAGAGCTCTTCCAAGTAGATCATTCATACATCCTGACTTAATGTGTGTGTGTGGTTTGAGGTGGGGTCCTTCCTCATCCCTGTGTGTAAGGAAGCCCGCTGTCTCAGCACCATGCATGTGTCTGAGAGACTGTTCTTTCCTCCTGGAATTGACCTCCCTCTTCGTCAGAAATTAGTTGGACATAGATGGTATCTCACTATGTAGTTGAGACTGACCTGGAACTCACTGTGTAGTCCAGGCTGGTCTCAACTCACAGCGAGCCTCCTGCCTCAGCCTCCCGAGTGCTGGGATTACAGGCGTATGCCACCACACCCAGCTGTCTGTCTTTATGCCAGCACCAAAGTCCTCAGCAGGAGAGCGTGGCCTAGAACCTTCCCCATTGGTGGGCTTGGACCTTAGGTTTTACTTGGTCCCAGCTCCTTAAACTGATGTATGTGCAGTCTGTTGTCTAAGGGTGTCCTGAGCCATGCAGGAAATGGGATGAATGAACCCTTGAAAACAGTAGGAGAAAACTTTGATTAATCATTTTTTTTCCATGTTAAAACAGACATTTCAGAGTAGAATGTAAAAGGTGTGAATTTTGAAGATAGGTGAGGAAGGAGTCTGCGAAGTTTGTATCTTCCAGCCCCTGTAAGCTGGGCCTCTGAGCTCAGGAGCCCCCTGCTTTTCCTGTGTGTACCTGGGAAGACCTGCTGTGTCTTCAGCTGGCCGTCCTCCCCGTCAGGAGGTGTTGGCAGAGCGCAGGCCTCCCCTGACCATCAGGGACCGGAGGGCTTTCCCTGCCAGTCCCATCGAGGATCAGTCCTTTGGGGCTGTTTTCCTAGTTTCAACAGTGAGTTACAGAAACCAGTGTGTTTTACTGGTGAGAGAACCATGTGGCTCTAAATGTAAATGTTTCAAGGATGCTGTGTTCCTTTGCCATGAAAATGCGGAAATGCCTGAATTAATTTCTTCGCTGTGGAATATTTATGGGAGAGATCATGGGGTTCTTTGTAACGGAGGCTTCACAAATATTTTCAGCATGTGTTTTTCCTAATCAGTAAAAACACGTTTTCTTACAAGTCATTGGTAATCAGGAGGTGTTGCTATTCCACCGTGTGGCCACTAGGGGCAGCACAGGTGGCTTTGTGTTTTCCGGTAAATGAAGACAGCTGTGGCGTAAAAACCTTTGATAACTAATTTAGCCCAACTCCAAATAAGCAAATTTCAGCTAATGAAGTTGTAAGCAACCCCTTACACTTTCTTACAAAGTCCTTTAGCTTCATCTTGTATGCTCAAGGGATGAGTAATGTAAAAGAAATGAAGAAGGTGTGCATTTCACGTAGTGTCGTTATCACGTGTGGAGTCTGAGTCAGTCTGATAATCCCAGCTAATTTTTTGGTCTCGTTTCTCTAAGCTAGACTGTTTTGAAAGACTCAGGACTTAGAAAGGACAGTTTCCAGCCCTCCTTTTAAAAAAAAATCATTGAAGATGCATTATAAAGTAAAAGCCCAGCCCAGCCCAGCCCAGCCCAGCCCCCCCCCC